GACAAAAAATGTGTAAACGAACTCAGTCCCGTTTGAAATTCCAAATGGAGCCGGCGAAATTAAACATTATATTGTTGATTTGGCAAAAACCATTACATTTGGGTTACGGGCAGAGAAGCCGGTTCATCTTTGCAGATTATATGCGTTTCGGTTGTTTAAGAATTTGTTTCGTTTAGTTTGCAATGTGATTTAACAGTAACGAGCTTATCGAGTTTTTGTTGCGTTGATCTGTGTAAAATTAGGATTTAATTTTGATTCTATATATTTGAACTTTATAATATATATTAAAAGATTGTATTTACATAACAGTTAACTTAGGCGTAAAGCCCCACTAGGCCTATAACATCTAAAGATGTGTAGACTTATTTTGAAATTCGAATATCTACAGATTAAAACTGAAAAGCAAATTTTCGCTTCACGGGTTTAGCATCTGTGGACGGACCATATAGATTATATCTTTTCTAGAGAAATTAGAAAATGACGAAAATAAAAAAATATACTGTCTATAGTTTACGCGAGTAGTACACATTTAAATAAAACACTTTAACGGTTTAAAACGCGATATATTAGTTAAAATTATTTGAAAATGATTTTTAACTTCGGCCCGACGTTTCGGATGCTTTGCAGCAGCCGTGATCTCCCCGTGACCACGGCTACCAGGCGGTGTCATTAAAGAAATCGTTCAGACAATAATATGCCTTTTGAGACAATCTAAATTTTATTGCTTTCTTAAATGTATTTACAAGCTAGACCCCTTAGCAATTGAACCTAGGACCCGTTGGTTTTTAGACTTGTAACTTATTGCTACCATTTGACCGACACGTACGTTAAAATCTGAGTGTAATTCGTAAAATACAAAAGATCTACAAATTAACTATATGTCATACTACTTAATTTAGAAGATCTTCAAATTGCTGTTTGTGTTGTGTGTCGCGTGCGCAATGATCCAAGACGTTCCGAGAATTCCAGAATAAGGAATTAAACATTAAGCATGATCAAACAAACCGTCTTTTAAATTCAATTTAATTGTGGTTTCATGAACGATTGCCTTTTCCGCTTAAAGCACACGGGAAATGTAATGACCCTTTACAATTAAGAAGTTTATTTATGTTTCAAATTCTGTGTGTTCAATTAATGGCACATGACTCTAGAAATAAGAAAAAAATGCAGTATTACAAACATTTTGCGTCAGTGGTGTGGTGCATATTGTATCGAATGCTCACCAAAAGATAGATCAACTAAAATTCGTGTTTCAATCGGTTTAAAATCATGCCTTCAATAACGTGAAGAATATTGCCAAATTGGCAATCACGATCGCAGTTAAAAGATTACGAGAAGAAATTGATTTTCTCGAACGGTGCTCTTAACTTAAATCATAAAACTAATATCTTATGTATAATCCTAACAAGGAAGCAGTTTCCACTCGCCATAAATGTGCTCGGAATTCGAGAATAATTCAGTCGCTTGGCGCTCGTCCAGTTCATCTTATGTACTTTGTTCCAGATGGGATCGGAAGCTGTGTGTTGAATATTGTGTTATAGGAAAGAGCGAAGAAACACAGGGAAATGTGGAAAAAACGAGAAAAAATATTTATATATAAATAATTCATCTTATTCCTTAAAAAAAAAAAAGAAAATAATGTCGGCGACAGTATAAATATCTTTTAAGATTAACTCACAATGGCGGGACGCGGACGACGCGACGTCGTGGTTAACAGCTATATTTTATAAAGGATTTTTTTTGGATTTGACTTGGATCATTGTTTACCAATATTAATGATGTCCAAAATAACAATTTCACGCGACCGAAGTAGCGGGCACATCTAATATACATGTATTATAAATGCCTTTTAGTTATAATAATAATGTGTAATCCTGCCTTAGTGCACACCGACGCGAAAACACAAGGTTGATCAATTTTTAACACCCTGATCAGACGTGTATAATTACGAACTAATTATATTAACATTCAATCTATTGAGAGATGTGAGATGAGACGAGAAGATAATGATCTCATCTCATCGAAGGGTGTAACTTAGATGTAACATAAAAGGGCACAGTAAAATGATATGTTTGTATGCATATAGAATGCAGATTGATTTTTTATTATATACGCTTAACCCGTGAGAACGTCATCAATGGACGCCATGAATTGAACAACTTTTTGGTTGTAATACTAGTTATTTTGTTTAAAGCAGTTTGACTGAAATGTGTTTACCTCCTTATTCATAGCAGGTTCCATGTAGGGAAAGATCTGATTTCACACTATTATTATTTATATATTTTTATTATGTTATAAAATTGCGATATTTTTGTAGTAGTTTTTTACAGAGATAACGTTAAAAGCATATTTTCAAGAAATTATTACGTTGACGTAAATCTAATATTAAAAATTTATTTTAGACTGAAAAAAAATGACACAGATGGCAGCACCGCTGCTCTGGATTTTTTAAACTTAGTGCAATAGTAATTTAGCTGTGCACCGCGCCGGTATTTCATTTCTTGACATACAAGCACAGCTAACACCCTGCTGTACGGCCTCGTACAATCTATTATTAGAAGTCCGATATAAATTTTAGAGTAAGTTAAAGACTACGATAGACTTGAAACATAATAAAAATTTATGTTGATAGTAAATGAGGTCTTGTATTGATTCTTAACGTAATTTAAGAAATATAAACAAGCAGACTAGAACCTTACTTCCGTTATAGATAAAAATATCCAATATGTAGCAACTGCACGTAACGTGCGTGAGTTCGAGTCCCGCCGTTTTATTTACCTAAAATATTTTTACAAATTTGCGACAGGCTACAGACACTCCTGTAAGCAATATATTGTTCAAACAAAACAAGTTTTGTATTTTCTATTATAAGAATAACCGTTAATACTTTGTAGTTTTAAAAATTGATTTTACTTCCGTTGCACATCAATTATGGAGGCGAGTTCGATTTCCGACAAAAAGTTAATCATCGCGATTTAGGTGATATGGAAATTGAATAGTTAGGCAGTGTACGCTATTTACTTTACGGTACATTACGATATTTTAAATATGCAGACGAATTTTACAATAGTAGGTACAGATATATTATATAACATTTAATTTATTTTTAATGTTAATGTTTTAATAAGTTTTGGTCAATTGTTTTTACGAATTCTTAATATTAAAAATTTAACAATATTTTAGTTGGATTTAGCAATTACTTAATACGAATAAACATACAATCAACCGCCTCTGTAGCTGAGTGGTTAAACGTTTTGTCTAGCTTTGGATTAAGCGCGAGAACTCCTAGGTTTGAATCTCGGTATAACAATATGTAGTTTCGGCTGGGTACGGAAGTAAAGAAAATCAATCAGTTAATCGCATATATTATATGTGGCCGTCCTGTAACATACAGAAAGGGAACATGATTCTACTTTTCTAGCAGTATAAGAACGTTAAAGTAGATTGTGAAAAAAAAATGGCGGCTTCAAAGCAAAGGTCGGGCATTCTATTCGTTCTAATAAGGGATAGGGAGATGTACCACTTATGTTTTTACAAGGTGGTATGTTATTTTATGCAATATAACGCACCTTGTATTAAATATATAAAAAAGATATATATTTTCTTTTTATTTTCGAGGATCGAGGAACTTCAACGTTCGATTGATGAATAAATAAATTGTTGTGTTGGACCATTTATCGAGGACACTTTAGGCTCTATTATTTCACTTTGTGATCAAGGATAGGAGCGAAGAAAAATTGGAAAATGTGAAAAAAAAAAACTGGGAAAATTATTCTATTTTGGTGTTTTCCATTGCGTGCGCTGTAAAAATGGTTCAAGATACCCAAAAAGATGTTTGATAATTAATTAACTCACAAGAGCCGTTTATATGGACAAATGGACATCAGTCTCCCAGTGACCACGGCTGCTGCGAAGCATCCGAAACGTCGGCCCGAAGTTAAAATTCATTTGCAAATAAGTTTAACTATATTTCGCGTTTTAAACCGTTAAAGTATTTTTTTTTTAATGGACATGGATCAACAACAACAACAGAATCGAAATATTTCAATTTGCAAAAGAACCTTTGCCAGGACACTTAGAGAGAGATATATATATATATATATAGTTAATAATAATAATCAATAGTATAACTTCCTAATATTAATATATAAAAGCTTTAAGTAGCGCGACATGTAATGTATAAAGTATTTTTCTTGGTATATCTATGGCTCTTCAACTAGATAACTTGTATAATCGCTTAGACAAATATAATTCGAGAGGCTTTGATTATTGACAAAATTATTTCCTTATTTGAAGAGGCACAACTTCATTTGTTTAAATCTATCACTGTGCATTTGGTAAAATACCGGGCGAATATTCATCTATACAGTTATTGTTAAAACTTCAACAGTTTAATATTATGAATGGTGTATTTTTAGCATGGGACATTCCACTTAACGGTCACAGCTACTGGATTCTCACATCGAGCTCGTTAAATATGCGAATTATGATCCTTCTCTATTGTTTTGACACCTTGAGTGCTTAAGAATGCAGCTATAAAGTAACAGTACAAATTAATTATTCAGTAAATAGTACCTTGAAGACTTCATAGAAATATGAAGACAGTACTTCACTGCGATGATAACAATATACGAAATAAAATAAATTATAAGTCAAGTACCTACATGTATGTTACTTTTACTCTCCTAACAAGGTATGTTAAAAAATTGTAACACAGAATATCCCTAACATAAAATAGTTAAATGAAGAGTATAATATAACTGATTAAAACGCTATTAGTAATAAACTATAAGAGTTAATAAATATGTTATAAATGTAAACTGATTAAAATTGTGTTATTTAATTTCTACTTATCTACTCTTCGCGTAAACATCAATTTGCAATAACTTATTGTTAAGTTAACGAATTGATTAGTTTATAATCGATTCGTTCTAATTTTAAAATTTGACACTAGAGCTTACAGTATTCTCTCAATAAGATCTACATTTTCTATCACTCACCGTATCAAGTTCTGCATCGTTGCTTGTCCGTCAACCCTTGATAGAATAAACACACGTCAAAATTCAATTCGGTCATCTAGCACTCGCGTGTGTATCTCACGCTGGCCGCAGCGAGTCTGCCTTCGCCGGCGCTGCTCTTGAACTTGTGACTGGAACTTGACAGGTTGCATTGCACAGTTGCACTCGGCGTTTTCGTCCAACATAGTAATTGTGACCCCGGCGCACTACCTTGCATTTCAAAACGAGTCGGTCAATGATCATTATGATCATTTACAAATAATGAACTCTTCGCTGTCCGATTTCAGGGAAAATAGTTAAGAGAGCAAAGAGGTCTCATTGAATTGCCGGTAAAAAAATATTGACTCCAATATTAAATTAACTTACATCAGTAACGTCAGAAGTAAAGAGACTTACAGCTTGAATTAAGCTGAGGACAAATTATGGCATAAAAGAAATCCAATATGAAGGAGTTCAGTTATTTAATAGTACCTATACCTTTATGTATTCGTAAAATTTATGATTACGAAGTCTACGATGTTAAAAATAAATAGTCGAACAGAAAATTGTGTAGATAATTTAGGCCACTCGCGTATATGTTCACGTAATTTTAAGTATTTTTTGTCAATCGCTTTTTAAATGTAAAGAAATAGAGTCTTTAAACATTAAAATCGATCAGTGGAACGGACACAGGAATGTGTCCGGCCCATACCTCACCAAGGGGTAACGGGATTCTCGCAGTTTTTACATATATATAACACTTCCGAGCCTTTCTTGTGAATAACATATAAGCTAACGAGTAATAAATCGTTCTACGTTAGTTCATTTGTTTTATACAGTAACGATTGTTTTACTGTGCTGTGCTGTATTGTATTCTGTGTCCGGCAGTTCGATTTTTGACCGAATCCGAAGCCGATTAACCGGCTTTAGAATCAAACTTCATGTGATATTCAGCAAAAAACTCCTAAAAAGATTTGTAAACTTTGGCTTGGCGGCAGTAATCGTTTGAAATTTATTGTATTGTATATCTTTAGTAATTTCACACTTTCTATCTCTCATTTGTAGATAACTATATTAACCTATTGTTATTTTATATTATTTACTAATTGTGTCAGCGATTTCGTCCGCGTTAGTTATTTTGGACATCAAATTTTGTTTCTGCAAATTTAAGCTACCCACGATGTCGATTGCGTTCCGTCGTTCTTGATAATTAGTCTCATTAGATGGACAAATTATACTGTCGTGGACAATCTTTTAGAGCGTTTAAAGAGGAATATTTTTCATACATGTGCTCTAACCAATAAACTAGGAGTTCCTAATAATAAATAAACGCGTTTATATAAAGAAACAATCTACCAAACTCTTCAGCTTTATCTATTACTATAGATTATTTTAATTAACTCGAAAATAATTAAAGTACGTGTATGATTAAATTGGCTATAGTTCCTACAAGTTACGATGTTTCCTAGGAACCTTCGGCTAAACTATCGCCGGAGCCTTCGGACCCGAAGCCGAAGATCGTCGGGCTCTATTTGTCACGAATAGCTTGCTCAATAGCACTATTACCGTTTATTTGGCGAGCAATTACCGAAGTGTAGCTGTCCCATTAGTGTATTAGACAGACGACCCACCCTTATATTCTTTGCAGACGTTTAAGTGCCTTCGTGTTCATTCTGATTCTAAAGTTTATTTGGAACAATACCGAGAATAATAATGCAACTTCGATTTCTAAAATAAAACAATTTTATATATATGGTTATAAGATACAAAATGTATGTAATGATATTTCTGATATTTTTGGTGTTAACGGTGGTAACTAATTACTGAAACTTGATTATTGTATTAAAAACTACATTAACAAGATTGCAATAATAAAAACGTATTAGCATGGGTGGCTACGGCCTAAAATATTACACATAGCTAACAGGTACATCTAATATTGACTTAATATTATATTTGTATCCTAAATCTGATTCAATCTATCTGTTCAATATTTTACTGTATAGTAAGAAATCAAAAAGTCAAACATATACACAAAAAATAAAAAGTAAATTCTATAGTTGATAAAATATCCTTTGTATTTATTTTAGTATTTGTTTAAAGAGTTTTCGGGACTGACTGATTTGACTGCACGAGTCGGGCTGAAGTATTACCATTACTACACATAAATATTCATAATTAAACGATGTCGTCTCGACAAACACAACAGCATTAATAATATTAAACAAAGAAGATACTTTCTATATAAAAATATCTCGTATAATCTCACTTTAATGTCAAAGTGTTAAAAACTAATAAATAAACATTCATATTAATCTACTTGTCTTAGTATAAAATTGAGCAATGAAACAGACACACAAATGTGGCAGACTCATTCGGAACCTATTCGAAAAGTGAAATTTTACATTTTTACCACACTAATAGTAAGATAAAGCAAAATGTTTAGATTTAAGAAGCATTTAAACAATGAGTTTAAGCGGAAGTGGCGTAATTACAGACTAACCTAAAATACAGTTATTTAGAGGCTCGAGGCGTAAATTAATACGAGTCATGAATAATCATTCGATTTAGAGGCTACTATTATTTATACATTAACACAGTTTAAGTGTAGTTGGGGAAAGTATGTAATGCAGTTAAACAGCTGCATGTTTAATTTTATTTCATGTCTTATGTCCATAAAAAGAAACTATTTGTATATCTCTCTCGTACGTGACAAGTAATGAGTAGAGCAACATCACAGAACGCTGTAGATGCCGGTACAAGTCCTGCCCGTGTCCTTAATTTTATTTTAAGTAATTTCGATCGATTTTTAATTTAAGTAATGTTGCTTCTAACTAGAAAAGTTCATTGATGAAGGCCGTGCTTAGCATTACCAGCTGCCACTACGCTTTTCCCCGTCGCTTCGAAGGTAGATCTCTTAATCCATGAGATCGGCGATCGACTCCGAGTCCTTTTCAATTGGCAATGTACGGCTAATAATCAACGAGTCGTGGCTTCGTTCCCCACTGGGTCCAACATCTGATCTATTTGTTATATATAAGCATGTTGGACTTCGTCTGGAAATCAGGATACTAAATGAGTGGTAGGAATGTTAAATTTCCATTCGAGTCACGAACCAACGTCCAGATAAAAGAGCCGTGAAGTTTAATCGCGTTTCGGTTTCAGTCTGTGGATTATCAAATATCCAAAGTCAAAATAGGTCGACAGTGCATCTTGTTTTGATACATAGCATCAACACAAGATGGCTGGGCTGGGGTATTTCCCCTACCATCAAGTGATGGTTCACTTGTGCTTGTGCGTTCTCCTTTATCATTAAAAAAAAAAACTAAAATAACCTAGTGGAATTGTCATTCAGACTCGGTTTCACTAAGAAACAAAGGGCGGTCAACTTCATTCATGTATCGTCGTTCACTTCGTTAATAATTTTTAGTTATTCACCAAAAGTTTTTTTTTTTTTTTTTCATTTGTGGCAAGAAGAACTAACTATTTGCCAGTGTCAAGTTAAACACCAAAAGTTAATTTTCATTTTTTTTCTGTGTCAATTGTCAACGCATGTCAGTTAATATTAAGAAATAGGTGTACTGTGTGGGTGTTAACCTACTCACACTTGGTATAGGTAGACTATACCGTTACTAATTTACATTGAAATTGCTTTAGCTATTAAACAATTTCGGACCAAGCACAGCCCATGTGTGTTATCGAGACGAATCCATCATTTTGTTTGGCTTTTAGGTCGTGAAGATCGCTCTAAATTCAACAGCTATTGGTAAAACCTAAAATAAAATTATGCTAATTGTATACATGTCTCACCAAATTACATAGAAAACATCTAAAATTAGCACTAATTCTTAAAGAACCTAACAAGAAATTTACGAAACTATTTGAGATAATTAGGATAGGTTTAAAACGTGAAATATATTTGTTAACTTGTTTTTAATTATTTAAACTACAGCCCAACCTTTCAGATGCTTTACAGCAGCCGTGGTCACGTGTTGATGGAGGGTGTCCCCAATGTCAAATTACAATCTGCTACGCTAGCGCCATCTGTTTCGTCGTAATTGATATCTAGAGGAACTAGTTGGGTTTTTATAAAACTGATTCACGGTGTTCTCTCATTTTCGGCATGTCGCTTTTTCAGAATAAAAGTGATATACAATGACATTAGGGTTTTACTTAATGTGATGATTCTTTGCGTAACATTCTTGAAAAAAAATCAACTTTCCTTCAAATATTTGACTATGATACTAATGTTTCTATCGATATTTCTTTTGGATTGATTGTCCCTTTTCGTTCAACATGTGTTCAATCAACAACAATTGGATACATTGTTAAAATGCTATATTTATCTATTAGAGTATAATTAAACAAAATAAAATAATTGCGTGCTTAGGTATACTTAGTCAACATAGCAAGTGAAACGATGACATTTATGTCAACCGTAAGATTTAATTAATCGACTTTCTAATTATTTCTTTGAATTACGGATCTTGTAGATCCTGTCACAAACGCTAAAAGTGAAGTGCCTTATATGTGGGGATTAAAATAGGCAACAAAAAAGTATGTGAGAGTCGTAATCTGTTATATTAATTAACGTCAGCAAAAAAGTGGTAAGTGTAGAGAATAAAGGATAGTGTTTAGGATGGTTTATCAAATAAAACACTGTACTCTAGTTATGTTTAACCATGATAAGAGCTTCAAATAAAATACAAATTTAGCATTACTATATTTGTTTGTGCAATAAAGTTTCGAATGACCAAAATTGTAATACTTCGAATGACACGGTAAAAATATTCTGATACATAATAGCTTACAGTTAACATTGTTTAAAAAGTTTTAAATTACTTAATTTCAATATACATTTAAAAACCGCAAGTGGTTTTTGGTCTCAAATACCGAAAGACAGGTACCGAGGGAGGACCTAATGTTTTAAATATAATTTAGTAAGTAGCAGCCAAAGTTGAGTTTTCATTTGCAACAATTTAGGTTCCATGTACACTTGCCATGGAAAACTATTTATATA